TAATTTCTGCTGCTTTAATTTGCTGTCTTATTTTGAAGTCAGCTGTTTCTCACAAACAATAAAGGAAGAAATCCAATGTATTCTGAAGAAATTATGTCCATGTTGTGTAAAATGAACACCTCAAGTGGACATTTTACCCTGATCCTGACATTAATGACTAAGCAAAGTCTCAGTTTCCCAGCTGAGAATGCTATCTGTTTAAGCAATAGTTTAAGCTTATACAAATAAAGTTTAGAACAAGGTCATTCTGGTTTACTCAGGTCTTAAACAGCACCTTCCTGCCAAAAGTCTGAGTCAACACCACCATAAGAATGCGTAAGGATTTCCTGCAGTTCCAGAGACTTTTTTGCCATGACCATTCTTGTCAAGGTTGATTCATACCAGAAATCTTATCCAAAAGTTACATCAAAACACTTTCTTTAGGTGTCACCCTTCAGTGAACAACTTAGTCTACATCTACATACCTTCTCCCTGGCTCAAGCAACCATTTTCCATGCTTCATGCCACAACCAAAACCTTTATCTATGGTCAGTGACCTAGGTGGAATACTGCTGGATTTATTAAGGAATGCCAGACAGACACATGGGTGAGGTTTGAACATTAAAGCCATTGTGGTTTCATGTATCAGGGAATGGAAGTCAGGACCAGTTCCTATTTCTGGCTCCAGTACAGGCTTGCTCTGGCATCTTGGGCAAGACATTTTAGCACCATGGACTGCCACACATGTTCATCCTATCTGGACTCTTACGGAAGAATGGAGATTCTTACCTCTACAGGAGATCATCAAGGATTAGTGTTAACCCAGCAGGACTCTGATCTTAGCTGGAGAATCTAAACATTGCTACAATACAAGTTAATATAAACATTTTCATCATACTCTGCACAGAGGTATGTTCTGAAGAGATGTGCTGTAGCAGCTGCAGCAATTCCCGTACCAGGTTTCTCTCTGTTTGCCACACTACCGATTCCCTGGGCCATTTTTTCCAGGAAACCCCCCTTCTTCACACCCCCCCACACTTCCCAGTGAAACATGAGCCCAACAACATTTGAGTAACAGTTAAACTTTTGAACCTGTTATGAGGAGTAGCCTTGAACTTAAGCAAAATGCTTCTGGCCAGGCTGATTTGTTCAGCCCAGTTTTAGTGCCCTACTATATTTATAGGTCATACCTAATTGGAAACAAAACAGCTTTTAGTCCTTGTTACACTCTTATTCAAGCCGGCAGGCAGCTATGAATCAAAGACAAAACACAGTGAATTGCTGTCTCCTTTTTCTCAAATTCTCTCTTAACAAGGAATTTTCAGAGCATTTGCCTGTATGATACACATCCATAGTAGTGGTCAACTGTTACCTTTGCAGACAATATATGAGGAAGTAAATTGGATTTTACTACTCAGAAGCAAACTCCGTCAAGGCTTATGCAAAACTCAGAGCAAACTACTTGCGTATCAGTGAATGCACAGCAATAACAAGTGTAAGGCGGTAGACTGGTACACCACAGCTCAGCAAACTGATACTTTTTCCTGGTGATAATTTGGATCCAGAATATAAGCCCTTAAAAATACTTAGCCTTTACTGTTAAGAAAACAACGTGTTTGCTAGATATAAACTGCAAGAAATTCAAGCCTGCAAATGTTGTAATGGACATATAAATGGTCCCCGTTTGCCTAGCAGGAAAGCCTAAAAACTGATACCTCACATTGCTCTCATTTAAAATGTCTTTTCACTGACTCCAGCATGTAAAATTAGATGAACATTGCAGAACATGTTACAGGGAGCTATGTCTATCTTACCATCAGCTTATTGTTTTTGCCAAGAAGCTGAAGTAGGGGAGCAGATGTTGCTAACAGTGTGAATCCAGCTGGAAGACTCTCTACCGAACAGAAACTATCTACTAGTGTAATCTGTGATTTGTGTTGTGAATGAGGAATTGGGGGAGAAAGTCAAACGAAAGACATCATATTCAAGCAAAGATGCTGAATGTGAAACCTTGATCCATTTTAAGGTGACAGAAAAACTTCCAGGATTTCCTATTCTAACCACAAGATGAATGATTATGATCATATACTCTTGCCAAGGGAAAAGATTAATGCAGTAAGGACCATAGCAAATGGTTGCAAGATCTGAAGAGTCATTATACAAGAAATGGTCTCAGGAATGAGGAAGGAATCTAAATTCTTACTGCCCTTCCATTTAATGCAGAGATGGGAGAGATGGTACAGAGAAGCTGCATGCCAGGGACAGTTAAAACAAATCCTATCTTGAGATCTTTTACTTAAAATGTACTGCATGTTGCCTCAGCAAACAGTAGGATAAGGTGTTTGTGCATAGAGAGTACAGAAAGCAGATATTAACAGAACAGAAGGTCACATCATCTAGCCAGGGAAAGGCTTTTATCTCTTTTCGCATGGCCTCTTGTGTTTAAGGACAGGCAACATGAACTGTGAGCCAACAGAGTTCCCACTCTGCTGTGGCACGACAGCTTCATTTTCATGACGGCATTCCACAGAGTCTTTATTGCTGTAAGGAAACACTAAACTAGTTCATGTCTAGGTCACACACCTGCCCTCACCAGCAGTAGCCATGTTCGACATTTTGCAGCTGCATGCAAGGTGATTTGACAGAGCAAGGTTAGAGTACTTTTAAGTTGCCAATGCTTCCTATGATGAAACACATATTACTTTTATAAACTAGGGCTGAATCTGCTGCCAGAATAAAGGAATCCAGGTCATCTGTGCCAGCTTAAACCATATCCTTTCTTTCCCAACACAGAGCCTCCTATGTTCCTTACAAGGGAAATCATACACAAGCCCTAGGAGACTGTAGAAAACTTACCTTGTTAAGTAAGATGACTGCCAGCAAGTGACCTAATGGTGAACAATTCAGGATGATTTTGATTAACAGAATGTAATAGAAATAGAGTTGTTTCATATAACCTTTCAGTCTTCAATGCTGTAGTTAGGTCCTCTATTAATAGAACTGTCAGAAAGGTGTACTCATGCCTGAACTGACATCAGGTACAGAAAGTTGAGTGAGTGAATTTAGTGCTGGCTTAACTGACATTGTGAACAAAGCCTACCTTTTATTCCTGAAAGAGAAATACCATCCACAATAGTGTCACTTCCCATCAACACGCCTGAATTCCAACCTGGGTGACTGTCTCTTAGCATAATAAGTTTACAAAATGCACTTGCACATGATAGCCTTCTTTGTTTAAATGGATAGATTGTTTTTTAAGATTGAATGAACCTGACTAAAGCAATACAAAATACAAATACAAAATACATTTAGGAATTAGAGTCAACCTACAAAGGAGAAAGACTTTCACAAAGACTTTCTTTGACTAAGAACACCATTTATGAGATGAATTTCAGTAATAGTATCATACACTGTGGGATGTCTTGTATCAGTTTAATCATTGAAGAGGACACAGATTTAATCAGAACTGCAAGAATATCTGGGAATAGTATTCTGATTAATTGTACTAGCACGGTAATGAAACTCTCGGACTATACTAGGCCTTCCAAATTGCAGCATGGGAAATGATTTTAGCGTTGCCAACTAAAAACATCTCTCTTACGGGCTCATTCTCTTTCCTTCATTGCAAGCCAAGTTTGGTGTTCACAAACAAAATAAACCCCTAGTAGTAGAAAAATAAAGAGGGCTGTTTTTGTAAAGGATTTGAACATTTTGGCAAACCAATACAGGATAAATCCCTTTGTAGTAATTTCCTTCTGCAATAGAGCAGGGAGTTTCCTACTTTCTGTCACTAGTAATAAGGTTCATCCAATTAGCCAGAAACTGCATTTCCTTGAGAATTAAAATGTAAACTCAGAGAATCCAGTAGGACGCTGAAAGCCTATGGCAGAGGAACAGAGCAGCCCATACCTTTTATTTTAGAGTCTCACACACCTATTAGTCACAGTAAATTTTTCACAGTCAAGACATGAATATACAGACAACTTGTATTTTTGTCAATCCTTCCCTGGCCATTTACTTAGTTCTTTGGGATAAACTATCTTAATTTTTAGCTCTATCTCTCAGCAGTGCCTGTCCTCAGACTTGCAGTCATCTTCCGCAAGCTCCTTTTCTGATGGCTTTTGCTGGAGAACCAAAATCAAGCCTTCAGGGATAAACTTACATGGGAGAGCCCCTTTACCTCACAAGCATGACATGAGTTTTGACTTAGGCCTTTTATATCTCTTTCTCTTTCCTGGGCACATCGTCAGTGCAGCAGTGCACTCCTCCTCACACAAGCATCCCCATCACACCCACAGACAAAAATCTACATTTTGCAGCAATCCTGCATGAGCAACTTTCATCCAGCAGCTGCTAACTCTTTTTAGCCTGTTCTGTTTAGCTGCTCTTTTTAGCCCCTCCTCAAAAACTCATGTATTTTACTGGGTTGGGGAGATGGCAGCAGTCTGAGGGCAAGCAGGGCTTTGAGGAGAGACAAAATGCCCAGCTAGCTTTTGTTACTTTTCTGCCCTGTGTCTAATACCTTGTGCAGTGTGGTAACTGAGGGAAGACGTGCCTCTCACAGGTAGCAGCCAGCTGTCCCTCAGGAGAAGTCCCTCTGCCCTCAGAGGTGCCAAGCAGAGGCAGCCAGGACAGCAGCCGACAGCACAACGAGCGTGCTGTGGAGGGGCGGCGCGCTACGCCTCTCCTGAGGAAAGCCCTCCTCAGCAATAGATCTCTCCCTCCCTGCAGGTAAGGGGTTTAAAAGAGAGGGGGGGGGGGGAGGACCTTCTCAACATGGCGGCCGAAGGACGGCTCGCCCCGCCTCCCCGCCCTACATTCCCTCTCAAGATGGCGGCGCGGAAGGGCCGGCGGCCGGACCGGAGTGCGCCTGCGCGCCGCTGCCCGGAGTGCAGTGAAATTCCTGGCGGGCGGGGGGAGGAGGAGGTGGTGGCGGTGAGGAGGAGGAGGAGGGCGGCACGGAGCCACGGCCGCGCTCCCCTGCCAGGGACCCTGCGTGCTGTGGCGGCGGCCGGCGCGGAGCCAGACCCCCGGGGGGCGCGGTGCGGGCGGGCTGAGGGCCACTCGCCGCCGCCTCAGGCTCTTGCAGCACCAGGAGCCGCGCCGTCCCCGCCGCCGCTGGGACTCCCTCCCCGGGCAGAGAGGGGGAGAATGACGGAGCTCCAGTCCGCCTTGCTACTGCGGAGACAACTAGCAGGTAGCCGGGCTGGCGGCCGGCG